GCGTTCGAAGACGCAGGTCACAGAGAAAAACCCAAGTGAGTGTGCACCGATGAAAAGGCGCATCCCCTTTTATAACATAGTATGGATAAAAGAATGGAAAAAGGCCACTGTGTTTCTTATCAGCAACAAACAAAGAGTTTCTGGTTTACATTCAGTCCTCAGGAATTCCCATGGAGAATCTCCAAAGGGACAGCGCAATTTATATTGTCAGGAGACAGGAAAGGGCCCCCATGCGGATTGGTCAAAAGGAGAACCTTCTCAGGTGTGAGGATTTCACAAAAGGGCAAGTAGTACAATTTCAATGATAAACAGGAATGGGAGATTCATCCTTGATGGGATTAAGGAAATTGTTGCATTTCCTAGTGGTGCTAAAACCAGTCTCCAGACGTGTGAGACAACCCTCCCTAAAGGAATCAACAACCAGTAGCTTTAACAAAGAAACAAAAGAAAATTCTCCACGACACCTGGTACCACCATTCTGCTGTCTCTCATCCAGCTCAGACTTCCTCACCCTCACAGCAAATTAGCATCGCCAGTGCAAGGTTAATCCAGCGACTGTGTGCGGAGTCCACCCGGGGGGCAGGGGGCGCTCGGCAGTATGCACGAGCACGCAGACTGGGGTCGTCAAAAAGGCAGAACAACAGACTATGGGCCGGTTACTCCACGGTGTTGTGGGAGACCATGAAAGCACGGGCCGGGGAGTGAGGAAAATACTAACAGTGTTGGAGAGGCGACGGAGCGGATAAATGGGTGCCGGGGAAGATGATGGCAAAGGCAAAACGAGAAGATGTGCCTGTAGCGCACAAACACCCTTTTTTCTGGAGTAAAGTCAAAGACGCGGAACAGAAAATTGCTCACTTATTCAAAAAAAAAAAAGAAAAGAGGAGCCTGAAAGCAGGAGGCTGCGAAACGGGGAGCAGAAATTGATGTATGAGGGACCGGGAATACGGCGCCCCCATCGCCCAAGCTCACAAAGTCTTTTGTCTTTGACAATAGGGCTCTCTAATTTGAAGCAGCATTGACCATTTATGGGTAACAAATATGATAGAAAAACTAATCCCGTATAGAGATTTGGTGAAGACTGACAGAGTCGTTTCGTCAATGCTGCTTTGAGCATTACTCATCTAAACAATCAATTTCACTTTTCCTTTCCCTGACCCTCCCTCACTCTTTAACTCTGGTTCTGTAAGCCCATTGAGGATTTACCCGTCCGTGACCAATGGAGGCTCTAATGATGTCTGCCAGACATCTCTGTTCCTCTATGTATTCCTACAATGATTTAAGTTTGTAAAGACCAAAGTTCAGCCAGAAAGAATGTAATTAATTGGCTCCTGGTGGACATCAGTGTTACACGTCTTCAAATGGCCCTTAATCTTGATATGCCGAAACTATGGGCAAACACACAGGATACAGAGAAACTATCAGGGCTTGATTTTCTTTTCTGAGATCTGACTGAAATGAAGTTACCCCACTGCTGGAAAGTGGAAAGTGACAACTTATCTTCGAGTAAGGGGAAAGTAGCAGGCAGGGGATTTTTGTCTGTTTAAAAGTGACACACTGAAAAGGCTGTCATGGAAGGGAAAAATTCAATTTTGGTAAAATGTAGGGGCGACAGCAAGAAGAGACGAGTAAATATGAGTAAATGGATGGGTTCTGGAAGATAGGAGGTGGACGACAGCATTGAAAAGACAGACAGAAAGATGCTTCACTTACCCCAGGTAAGTGAAAACATCTGAAAAATTTAAGTGCAAAAGTTATAATCAGCCCTGATGTTTACACCGTTTTCCCAGTGGCCGCTCCACTTAAAGCAAGTCTTTTAATATCAGGAGATTAGAACCAGCGGGTCGAGCAAGAGGGAACCTTTTGTGAAACATTTATGAGACCTTTATACAATCTTCATCAAAGGAAAAAGCTACAGCCACTGACTATGAAGCCAGAGCCTGGATCACTGGGTCGATTTTAGGTCTCTAAATATTTTACCAAATGTTATTTTTCAATCTCGTGGAATAATTTCATTCAAATCCCAAACGACCTTTAGGATTTCAAAAGGAGCCTGACTGTAAAATTTGTTGTCTTTGATGAGGTGATACGGGGGTTGCGGCTGGAAGACTTGAAACACAACACAACTGTAATGATATAATTTTTTATTGGAGGCATTTAAGGCATCTGGGCTGCCCTCCTCAGCATAATCTGTCATCTGTTCACATCACTTAAACGAGTAAAAGCCGACATGCGTTCCAAAGTTAATCAAATTGAAGCCGATGAATGTATCCGACATTTATTACTTTATTACTTGTTTACTTCCAGCTTTTTCCTTTATTTGAATAGCGAAAATGGACAAAAGAAAACGAAAAACCTTTTTGACGGTCGATTCTTAACAAGAACTCCTTTGCCAAATGCCCTAGCTCGTAAATGCCCTTTTTTCACGGTCAGTTAATCATCTATTCTTCTTTAAGAGCTCTTTCAGATGAGCATCCAGCAGAAGTCTCCCATTTCTGAGGTCGTTCTGCTAATTTTGGACTATTTCTTAGTCAGGGGACTGAGGACTGTGGCCAACTCTTCAACTTGTACTTCTTCTGTAGGCCCATTGTGAATGTCGTGCTATACTGTGCTATACTATTTTGATTCCACGATCAGCTGGTTGTTAATTGATTTTACAAGCAAAGTATTCCACATAGCGCTCGGCGCAACACAAGCCCACACCATGATCGATCCACCCCCGTGTTTAATAGTAAGAGCGGCTTTCTTTCAACAAAAGTCTCCAAACGTACTGTTTCTATTGAACTTTAAAAGTTTTTATTTCTTTCACTAGAATCTTTCCAGAAATGCATCAAGCTTCTTTAGACTTCAGTTGCAAAACTCCAAGGCTAAATTTGCACAGACGTTACCGACCATTAAGAGTTAGACGAATATTTCTGGAGGTTCTTCTACTCTCAGATTGGGATTTGCTATTGCATAACCCAATTGCACAGTCGGTTCTCTCAGAAACTAATCTCCAGCCCCATTTGAGCTCAGCTTGACTGCCGCTCTATAGGTAATTATATTGCAAACTTCGAAAACACTGCCTCGGACGTGGTTTGTTGTTTCCTCGTAGCCTTCTCCTGCTTTGTCGGGATCAATTTGATTAATGTTCTGATTGCTAGACGGCTGCTTGTGGATTGCCTGACCGCCCATTGTCAGAGCCAGGCTCGAAGAATAAAAATTGTACGACCTTCTGATGACTTGAAATCTCATTTTTATCACTGTTGCTTCCAACCCAATCAATGTGAAGAAGCCAAAGTGCTCACAAGCTTACCAAGACATTTATGAAAGCTTTCCAAGAGCAGAGACATCTCTCTGCATACTTAAAACCAGTATAGTAGATTAAAGACCCTTTAGTCAAGCATGAACTGAGGATGGATGAGATAAACACTGAATTACTTGCAAAGAGAAATGAAGTCATTGCTCAGGGTGACATTATTTTCCTTACATTTCTACCTCAGTAAATTTACGAGCTTCCCTCCCCCTTTATAACCCGCACTACAACTTTTTAAATGGATTCTGACTGAGCAGCATGGCAGAAGTTGTATATATATCACAATGAGAGCCTTATAACAGAGTGCTGATGCCACAGAAGAAAAAATCCTTCTGGTTCCAAGGGTTGTTTGAATTAAATTGAAGGCTTTTAAATCAATTGGAGACAACAAGCAGGCTGATTTATTTTTCTTTAAGAAATGAAGAACCGGAAGAGAGATAGAGGAGGGCACAGAACCAAGGTGCTTAAGATAAACGAACAGAAAGCAAAGCCTCAATAGAAATACAAATGACTCAAGTCTTACATAGCAGGAAATGCATCCAGCTGACTCAAATGACAGAATCCCAGCCGTTTTCATTGACCTGCAGAGGAAAATCATGTTTTTCTGCTTTGAATTCATGCGCAACTTTGTATTCAGCCTGAATTAGCCCATACAGAATCCTCCGTGCGTGTCTCCGTGCGTTTTACCCTCCATCCTGGCCCACGTCCAAGTGCTATAATTCAGATCATTATTGCGCCTCGTTTGCCTCCACGTCAGCAACTCACAGCCAAAGGTAGACGAGCGTCCTTTTTCCGCATTTCCTTCGTTTTTTACGCGGAATGGCTTTAAGATTCCCGGTGCCTCTTCCTGCCCGTGGACCGACTCCGTTTCCCCGCAGCTCTCCACGGGGAGGAGGGCTTCCTTTGCCTCAGGTGACGGGCACCGCGCAGCCATTTAACAGCCGCTCAATGCGCACTCTGAGTTGCGGCCAACTCAGGCGTTTTCAGACCATTAAATCAACCAATGACTCAGATAGTGTCCATAACACCACACTCGCACGCGCTGGAAGCCTGAGAAAGTGATCCAACGGTCCATTAATGAAGCTCCATGGCCGCGCGAGGATGTGAACAGCTGTTTGGGTTTTTTTTTTTTTTTAACAGGATCCAGACCGGACGCGCACATCAGCAGTATTAGAATTTTCCGGTTTTCATTCCGACTCAAATGAACTTTTTTTCTTCTTTTTTTAAGAAAGCAAACATTCGTGTTTGAGGATGTAAGACTGCCTGCGCTCTGAACATGGTCTGATCATCCAGATGATCCAAAAGGGGGAACAAACGGCATAGTTCAGCCCAGAGAGCACATGGGAACAGGTACACCTGCCGAACCGGTTTCGTGCACACCGGTTTGGCGCAGAAACGCACCAGAAACGCACCGCATTCGCGTGCGCTTCGGGAATTGCTATGTTTTTCCACGGAAAGTTTGCTTCGGCCATAAAGTGCGCAAAATGGACACTGTCACAAACGATCGTTTCGCCCACAAAGACAGAGGGAGAAGGCTTTTACGTGGTCAAAACCAGACACCGCAAGCTCTGCACATTTCTCAACAGACATCTCAGATTTATTCCCCCCAATAAGTGCGCCCGGGTTATACAGCAGCGCATCACCGTGAAGACATAAACAGAAAAAACACGCGCAAACCGTCAACTGACACATTCCACATTTTTTTCTACTCACCACATAGGGAGTTGGCAAAGCCGTACCACACGCATCCCCCTTCCCCTATGAGCCACCTTCCCTGCGTGCTGGCCGCGAAGCTGAACGGAGTGCCCAGCACGCACACGAGCAGGTCGCTGACGGAAATGTTAATCAGGAGCAGGTTGATGGGCGAGCGCAGGATCTTGTAGCGGCAGAAGAGCACGAGCACCAGCAGGTTGTTGACGAGTCCGAGGGAGCCGATGAAGCCCAGGCACACGGCCACCACCAGGTGCCCCGTCGGGCTGAGGGTGGGCCGGTGTGAACCGCCCCCCAGGTGTCCTTCCCCGGCTCCGGCGCACAGAGCGCTGTTGAACTGCGCGCAGCCGCCAAGGCTCACGTTGGACACGATCATGGCAGTCCGTGCCACTGCGGTGGCACTCTGGGAGGCCACGGCAAGCTAATGTGTCGATAACATTTCTTTTTTTCCCTTTTTTTTCCTGTGTGGAAAAAGAAATAGAAAAAAGCTCCGAGCCAGCAACACTTGTTGCTTTAAAAAAAAAAAAACGACGTGTCAGGTGGATGGAGAAAAAAAAAAAAAGAGAGTCAAACTGAAATTTGAGACAATAAATTACTTGCTTTTTTTTTTTTTTAGGGGATATCTCAACTTTATGTATCCGTTCGGAAGGAAAGGGGGTGGAGAGGGGGGTTCTAAAAAAAATGTTTTTGGGGGAAAAGAAAAAGTTTGGTTAGGCTTTACTCCACCGTGTGGCAGTCTGTGATGCGCGCTCTCTCATTCTTTCTTTGCGTCTCATCCAGGCTCCTTCCCTCTTCTGGCCGTATTTAAATCACTGTTGCGCGCTCTCCAGCAGCTGACGTATAGCTCGGAGGTTGGGGTGGGGGTGGGGGTGGGGGGGCAGCGGTGGGAGGGGTGGAGGGAGTGCGCAGGGGTGGGTGGGGGTGGGTGGGGGGGGGCTGGGACGAGCAGCGTGGAAAAACAGAGACAGACCTGGGACGTTCAAACGGGCAGCTCAAAGAGAAATACTGCGCAATCGAATGCTCTCAGAGTTAGACTCAAGTCCACCTTAAAGTTGAAGGCGCAACCGGGCGCGTGGGGGGTGCTCGGTGCTCACCAGGGTGCTTATGAACATGTTCTCAGCGGTGCCACAAATCCATTGCACAAATAATTACGCGTGGACATGCGTTCTGGGTCCATCCACCGCAATAGCCAGCTCTCTGATGGTTTTCAGCACTTTGGCAGGTGCCTGTGTGCGTCTTTCTCTCTGAATGGAACCAATGAGTGTGTCAGCACTAAATACTGAATACTAAATACTAAAAGTAAAACTCATTTGATGATGATTGTACTTGAATGACTTATTCAAGTAATAAAAAGTAGAAACACATCTTGTAATGTCCAGTCTTATACAACTCAGATTGCTTAAAAATCAACATGATCTCTCTCTATTTTAGGGGGGGAAGACAACCCTGCTTCAATTTTAAGGTTTGACTAAGCAGGACATACAGTAGGTCTTAAGAAAAGGTGAATACATCTTGAAAAAAAACACAAAAAACACGAATTAATAATTACTTCCATGGGTATGAAGAGGTTAGTAGCAAAGTACAGTGGCCACTGCCAAGAATAAACTTCTGGCACAACCACAACGTGGGAGGGTGGGGGGTTCCAAAGACATCCAAAGGCTTTAAAGCGAGACCTGAAATCTTATTTAAATGTTGTGTTTTGACCTAAGCGCAGCTAAGCACAAGTAAGTGCTTGTAAACCACCATTAACGGAGGCAGAGAGGGTGGCATTCCTCTGTTAAACGGTGAGAGGCTGGTAACATATGGGAACCGATTACTTCAAGTTACTGTCGCTTAAGATGCTGCTATCAGTTGTTTGATTTTTCACACAGTGCCTCTGCATTTTAATGGTTTTCTTTTTGTGAAATTAAAAATGGCGCTATGATGTTTATATAATTCGCTTTTCTTAATCTGATGTAGTTTTCACATCATTTTAAGACCCTGTCAGACTCAGGACGAGGACTTAATTGTTCTTTACTTTGTTCCAGTTGTGACACATTGATTGACATTGGCGCTGCTGCCTTTAAATTGGTCGAGGTTGTACCTTTTCTGTTTGTGCGACTAAACCCCTTTTTAAACACAGGGAAAGTCTTTATAATTCCCCGCACACAACAGGCTGCATCTCCTATTATGGGTTGATGTAATGATGCTGAAGCTACTGTATAGCATCAAAGTAAAGGTAAACGGATGTAATTTGCTTTTCTCCAAGAGGAAATCAATTTGAGCATATTTTCTTTTGTCATGCTGTGCCCTTTCCTTTCTGTTCATTGTGTTCACAGTGTCTCTTCTTCTGTTAGCTGGGAAAACATACTTCAGGAATGAAAAACTAAAGACACACTAAGTGAAAGGCATCTCCTGTCAGTGTGTCCAAGCTATAGGACCACCTGCGCCCTAACCCTATATATCTGCTAGCTTGCAGCTTCTCTCAACCTGTAAAAAAGTTGAGAGAAGCTGCAGTCTAGCAGATATATAGCACACACTTATTTTAGAACGTTGGGTGCCTCTAAAGTCCAATAATTATAATATCATCTTTCCCACTGCTAAATAACCTCAATGTAAGTTTGACCTAAAAGCCAAAAACACTTGCAATTGAATGTAGGTGCCCTCAATTTTGGGGAGAGAATCCAATGCCTCTCTTTATATTAGTTTCAAATTCCAGTTGGTCGTTTCAAATTCCAGTAGGCAGGAGCTTTACCAAGTTCCTAAGAAAACCCCCATCTTTTGGGCAATGCAGATGCAAAAGCTGGTTTCTGTATGTTTCAGTCGCAGGGATGTGATCCACACAAAGAAAAATGTAAAGACAGAGAGCAGTTTCAAAATGGCAGCATTGGCATTTAGTGCAAATGCATTAGTCTTAATCACGTGTGGAGGGGTAAACATGTGCCCTCCAAGATTCCTGACTTTGAAAGCCATGGTGGGGATTCAAAGACTCAGACGGGGGGAAAATTATGCTTCCCCTTCATGGTCTGCTCCCAACCATTCTCGGCAAATAGGCCCCTTGTCACACTGGAACCAAGGTAATTACCCATGAAACTGTATGGCGACATTTACTCTGACAGCATCTTCTCTATGTAGAGGCCTAATTGAGTTGAGTTAAGACACTGGAGTATTACTGTGAATACCACCCCAGTTTACATTTACATTTATGCATTTTGCAGACGCTTTCATCCAAAGCGACTTACAAAAAGAGGGTTTAACATTTAACTAAAATGCAAAATGCTAGAGGAGGATTTAACATTAAGGATTTATCATTCAACTATGACTTAGATTACACAAGTAGCATACACTGAGTGCTATATGCTATTAGGATATACATTATATTAGAGCTTTCAGGACAAGAGATACTTGTCTCTTGGGTCTTTAAGGAATTTTTGAAGGAGAAAAGATTTAGTCGGAATTCTAGGTCAACTCAGTGGTAACATTTAGCAGTTTGACATGCAGTTGGGGTTAGAAGTTCTTTAAAGATTACTCCTGTTTTGTGGAAGTCAGAGGAAATGTACATCAGCCTTTTGTTGCTTCTATTGTTAAACTAATTTGATTTGATATGGACTGTTAAGCTTTTCCTACCTCATGAGCTCTAAATTTCTGCACCCACAATCAGGCAGTTTCTTCTTAAAAAAAAACTTGCAGCGTGGTTGCATTCACAGTTTTAAGTGTAGCTTGCTTTTAGTTAGTAAGTTCCAGAATTTTATTAGAGCAGAGCAGCAGTCTGGAAACGTTTCAAGCAGCCTCAAATGTGCAGGTCCTAATGGATTTATAAGACAATTTCTGACTTATTTAGTAACATGACAACAGTAAGAGACAAATATATTAACAGAATTAGATCTAATGGCAATTAAGTTGAATTATTACAAACTTTAGCGTTTTTATAGAGCAACACAATCAAAAATCCAGCATTGAAGTGTAAAATGGAAAAAACTACTGCTACTAACCTAACTGTATGAAGGGGTAAAAATCACTATGGTTATGATTTTGTCCATTCACCTTTGAGGCCAACCTGGAAAATCAAGTTTTGAATACCAGTTGTGCCTTTATTCTCTGTTAAAGGAAAACTGTACCTTAAACAGGTCCCCAACTCATCACTAGGTCACTTGCCCAAACTCACGTTGACTCCTACGGTCAAATGAGATTGAAGAAATAACCAAACACGCATGTTTTTGGAAGGTGGGAGGAACATATTGGTCCTGGAGAGAAAATGTGAGAAGATTCGAATATGAAAGTCCTCCCGAGATTTGATGGTGAGGGGATGGAGCTAACCACCACAAGGCTGTACCACCGCCAGATATTGACCAAAATGAAACTATTTTTCCAAAGAGCTATCTTCATGGTGGATTTCCACCACAGTATTTGTTGCATTTTCTGTGCGGATGTTTGTTAAATTTATTCTTGTGGCACAGTGGTGTGGTGGTTAGCACCATCTTGGTGATGAAGTAAAAAATGAAGTCGCTAATAGATTCAAATACATTTGAGGACCCCTGCAGAAGGTTTGGAGTCATGCTGCCGGCTCCCTCAGTGACCATGTCACTCCTCCTGATTTTTGTTGGTACAGATATTTTATAATAGCATAAAAAAAACCTAGTGCCTCACCACGGTTACAAAACTCACAAATTCATATATCCATGCATCCATTTTCGAATCCACTTATGGGTCAATGGGTGAAAGGAGGGGAACACCCTGGACGGTCTCCACCCTGGATAGGCTCCATTCCCCCCACGATGCCATTCGGGAATAAGCGTTTATGAAAATGGATGGATGGCACTGGTGCCTTAAGCTTTGAGTAAAGTTGGCTATTCCACCGCCCCTTACCCTAGTGTCTGTCAGGGAGGGTGGGTCTTGGTGGAGGACTCAGGCGCGGAGATGACGAAAACAGGTTTTATTGTAACAAAATAGGTTCAAAAAGTGAATGTCCAGACAAAGTTCAAATCAAGGCTGTGAAAAACTACGAACAAAGTATCAAAGCAATAAGTTAACAAGTCTGTGGCAAAGTATCAAATCATGAATAACAAAATTGTGACAAAACGTGGCTATGACGGAAACTAGGCTATGGAACAAAAACATGACTATGGCAATAAAGTAACTAAGCTGTGAGAAAATCAAACCTGGCGTGGGGGTGACGAAAGACAACAGACGAAACAAGGAGGACGAAAGACGAAAACGCACTCGCACAGGACATGGGAAACGAGGACTATTTAAACACACGAGGGAGGGGAACCCCAGGTGTACACAATAGGTAATCAACACATGATGAGACACCAGACATTCCCCCAGACGTGACAGTGTCACCACCACCAATTTGGTAAGATCAAACAATTAACCAGACATATTTAAATGAATATC